ACAAAACAAAACAAAAATGCCAGAGTGTGTAAACCAGAGAAAGAGAAGTAAAAGTGGTGAGAGATTGCTTCTGAAATCAGACACAAGGTTCATGTAGGCAAAGTAAGATTATGCAAAATTTGACAGTTCACACTAAGGAGTTTGGACTTTATTCTGAGCCTGACAGGAAGCTGTTAGAAGTTTTTTAAGCAAAGGGACATAATCTGAAAAGATTTCTCTGGCTGCTCAGTGGAAGACTAACCGTAAAGGTGTAGTAAGGAAGCAGAGAAATCAGTAAGGGAGCCAAAGACTCAGACAAAATGATGATGGCTCGGCCTTGGGTATGCAGGGCAAGAAAAGTAATTTTTCTTCTATTCATGTTAGGTTCATTGGGTAGGGACACCTGCAACAAAAGAGAGATTAATAAGAGAAATGCATACAGATTTACTCAATATAGGTTTTATATAACATGGGAACTTTCAAAAAGAAATGAAGACTGGCCAAGCACAGTGGCGCATGCCTGTAATCCTAGCACTTTAGGAGGACGAGGTGAGAGAATCGCTTGAGGCCAGGAGTTCAAGACCAGCCTGGGCAATGTAGCAAGACCCTGTCTAGAGAAAGAAAGAGACAGAGAAGGGGGAGAGAGAGAGAGAGAAGGGAGTGAGAAGGAAGCGGGGGGAGAGACAGACACAGACAGACACACTCAAACAGTTCATCCTTAGGTGCGATGAAGAATGGAGAGCTATGAGAAAATGTGATAGGGCAAAAGAGCATGACCTATGGGTAATTAACTGGGGGAAAATTCTGGGGTCTGATTATGCTCCTGTGTACCTGTGTTTTGAGACATAAGGATGCACCTTTCCTCCAGGTATAGTGAGGGTATCTCTCACATGGGGGGTCTCACATGGGAGAAGGGTGGGGAAGGGTCAGAGAGACATTCCTGCATATGCTGTTTCTCGCCTTCCCTTAGGCTAAAGTATCCCTTATGCCTAGGTGCCATGTTTTGGGGTAGTATGTCTGAACTCCATCAGGTGGTAGCAGTGGAATTGTGAGAAATAGTCTGACTCTTGACCTACTTGGAAGAATAAGCAAGACTTGCGAATAGTGTAGGATGTAGGGCCTGAGATTTGTTGATGAAAAGATGCCCAAAGTCTATAAAATATTTCAGATAGTTTATTCTTGAATCAAACTTGAGGACTTAAGTCCTCAGAAGGTCCTTAGAACATGTACCCACTGTAGCCAAAGGGTCACTTGGTTATATACAGTTTTAGGGTGGCAAAAGTTACAAAAACCATACATCAATACATGTGAGATTTTCATTGGTTTGGCCCAGGAAGGAGAGACATTTCCAAGTGGGAGCTTGCCAAGTCATAGGTGGATTCAAATATTTCTTTACTGGTAATAAGTAAAGCCGTTATTAGGAGACAAAGGGCAGAAAGACTCTTGGTTTGTTGAATGCAGATGAAGTCCTATACATGACAGACTTCAGGGAGGAGAGATTAACATCTTACAAGATTCCCAGAGTCTGGGAATCCACAAAAGATGGCTTTTCAGGGTCATAAACCATTTGTGTTATGTTATTGTTATGCCAGAGTCAGGTTGGAAAGCCACCTTTTGGATATAGGATATAGGGTAATAAAACCCTGTCTGATGAATTCTTATTGGGCAGTGACTCCCCAAGCCTCTTAGTTAGGAATTTGGGTAAGAGAAAAAGATTCAGGTTTAGTTCTCAGATTGAAAGACTCAGGTATGACTCCTTGGCCTAAGCAATTAAGAGAATGAGGTGACCATTGAAAGGACAAAGCAAAAAATAAATGGAGTTACCCTGGCCATGTTGGGCTGGTGGCTTGGCACTGGTTTACACTTTTGTCTAATTATAGTGAATAATGTCTTCCTTCGTAATAGGCTCTGTTAACTCCCTTGCTCTGAGGTAAGCTTGATTAACTTCTCTGTCACTGATAAGTAAAGCTGTGACTTACCACCAGTAACTGGCACCAAGACACTAGAATTAACTTCTTTACTCCAAGGATTTGTTTCTAGCTATCAGTCCAGTCCTCCTGTTTACATGACAGACCACCAGGTCTCTGAGATAAAATGAAACAGGCATGGTGGTGCCAGCCCTACTACCACCTCCCCCAAGAATCTTTTTCTTCTATCCCAGCCATCCTGCTCTCACCCATAAACAACACACTCCCAGCTAAGTACCTTTCACTTCCTGAAAATCCAAGGACATTCAAAGTTAGCATTTGTGCTTTAAGACTTTGTTTTATAGACCTTAGCCCAATCTCCCTGTCTGCATGATCAATTACCAGAAACTCAGGCTGCTGGCATCCTGACCTGCTAATTGCCAAGGAAACGACAACACTTTCCCACCATCACTTTCCACAGGAATGCTCCCATTCACAGCTTCCTAAAAGAAACTTTATAAACCCCCTGCCTCAAGCACTCAGCCGTGCTTTTCTTAGTGTCTGGCCCCTTCTCCACTCTTGGGAAAGTGGATAAACTCTTTTTCTGATCTTTCTGAATAAACTCTTTTTTCTAATCTACTTTCTAGCAAATCTTTGCTTTGCCCACAGCACCAACAGAACTCAACCACCCTAACAACCATTCACTGTGTTAGGTCAAACTGTCACCCAATGCAATGAGATATTTGTTCTTATTTAATTAAATACTTAATAATTTCAGGTTACTGGATGGAAATGCAAAAACAAACCAAAATAACTGAGGTGCAATTAATAGAAAATAAAATACACAACTTAGTTCATCCCATGAGCTTTTGTTATGGCTGAAGCAGGTTTAGCCGCTGCCCAGAATAACCAAAACTGAAGAGAAAGAGTCACAAAGCAAGGAGGGTAGGAGAAATCACTCAAGTCCACCTCCCTGAAGATTCAGAGGATAAGGTTTTTTGTTTTGTTTTGTTTTTGAGTTGGTATCTCTGATGCCCAGGCTGGAGTGCAGTGGCACGCTCATGGCCACTGCAACTTCAAGCTGCTGGACTCAGGTGATCCTTCCGCCTCAGCCTTCCAGGTAGCTGGAACTACGGGCGTGCGCTACCACGCCCAGCTAATTTTTTTAATTTATTGTAGAGTCGACATCTCACCAAGTTGTCCAGGCTGGTCTCGAACCTCCAGGATCAGGCAATCCTCTTGCCTCGGCCTACCAATGTGCTGGGATTACAGGCTTGAGGCACTGCTCCAGGTGGCGGATAAGGTTTTTAAAGGGAATGTGGCGGGCAGAGGGCTAGGAGCTGGTGACTGGTTGATGGTGTCATTGGGGTTGTTGAGATCATCTTCCTGGGGTCCTGGGGCCATAGAGCACTTCCTGGTGCTCTGGGCCTGGATAGGAATTCGGTTTTGACAAAGTACAGTCTGAAAAAGATCTCATATATTATTCTGTTTACAATAAACGGTGTCTATAAACAGTTCCCCTGCCCGGCAGTTACTACTCACCCCCATCCATTTTGTAGGACGTCCAGGAAAAAGGTCTGGAGAAGGTGGGATGGGTGCCTGGAGATTGAAGCCGCTTTTGTCTTTCAAATGACTTTTGTCTTTCAAATGGATTTTGTCTTTCAAATGGCTTCCTGTCTCCTCAAGCAGTTTCAAGTCTGTTATTTTAAAAAGAGTATGTTGATCAGCCTTGCCCTCCACCAGGGTCAGGACTTGAAGGTGATTTTTGCATAGGCGGTTTCACTTCGTGGTTTGTTTTTTTTTTCTTTTTGCGGTTTCATTTGACAACTGTATGTATCAGTGCAACATTTCTATCACCTTTGAAAATTCCCTTCTGGGCTGTAAGCATAAACTACAAAAGAAACTACGTGCACAAATATAAATTTACAGCTCAATAAAACTTCTGAAGCAACACATCTACCTATAACCAGCATCCAAATCAAGGGAATAACCGGACCCGCGAAAGCCCCCTGGTGGCGTTCTCCTGGCACTACCCTCTCACCCCAGAGAGACCATCCCCGTCAACACCACTAGCAACTAGACGGGCTGCTGTCAGCTCCATTTCAGTAGGGCCACACGCCGTGCCCTCGCCCACACTCGACCTGCTGCCCTGGGCTGCAATTTCTTTCGGGGTTCCTGCAAGGGGACTCTACTCCCGCCCGGCCCCGATCCTGTGCGGGTAACGGCGGATCCTGCGCAAGGGCTGTCGGCCCTCTCAGGGGTTACTGCTTGTTTTCAACTGCGTTGCGGACGTCTTGAGGCTGCCGCAGAATAAAATAATGTGAAAAGCGGGGCTTTTCTGGGGGTCTCACGAGTCAGGAGGCTAGGACCAGGAGAGGAGAATCCAGTCCCAAGAAAGTCACGTAGCCATTTTCTTGATGGTCTACAGGCTCACTTACACCGAATCCAAACCCGGGTGAGAACTAGATTCGAAATGGTGAGTGAAATGGGCGAGGGCACCGGGCACGCTTCCACAGTTCACGAGATAACAGCGGGGCCAAGACCGCGCCCCAAAACGGGTTCACGCCCCAGGCCCCATCTAGGGCTGGTCACGTGGGCACCGCAGTCCCCGCCTCGGCCCGTGATGACGCCACCCCGTTGGAGACGCTGGACGGCCGCGACGTCTACAGCGTGCCAAAGCCCACTGGAAATAAAACTGTTCCAAGAATCCTCTACTCTCAGCATGTTCATTCCTTCCCGTTTTAACGTAACTAGACTACTCCTGTACCCTTTCTTTTGCCTTTTTCTCATGGAGGCTCACAGAGTAGGCTAAGACAACATGGCGGCAGGGCTGGCCTGAAGTCCTAGAGAGGACAGAAGCAGCCGACTTGGCCTCTGAAGATTGTACGTCATTTCCGGGGCTGGGTTAACGCGGCGGTTCCGAGCTGCGCCTGCGCAACCTCGACCACTCGGTCAAAGTGTTGTCCCGGCAAGAGGAATAGATATTACTTTTCTCGAAGTACCGGTTCCTCGCGAGATTTGAGCGTTGCTAGGAGGCTCGGCGGGCGGGCGGGGCCAGGCTCAGCGGGGCGGGGCTCGCGAGATGGGCGGGGCTCGTGGTGGGCGGTGGCGGCCTCGGAAGTTTCCAGAGGCGCCGCGTGCGGGAGGCGGTCCTCTTGTCTCGCGCCGGTCCGGTTGTGTGCGCGCTGCGGACGCTGGGGTTCGCACGGGCGGGTGTGCGCTCGGGCAGGGCGTGCTCGAGCGGCGTTTCCTGCGCGACTGCGGCCTGGCCGCCGACCATGGCTGTGACCCTGGAGGAGGTAAGGGTCCCCGGAATCGCGTCCGGCCTCTTCACGCGCGTCGGGGCGGGCGCTCGCTCCCATCCCGCGGGGCGTGCTTGGCCCCCGCGCTGCCCCCGGCCTCCTCGAGGCCGCCGGTCCTGCCTGCGCCGCGATCCCGGCTGCGGGCGGCGCCGACGGCGAGTCCGCGGAAGCCTGCCACCCCGCGTGTCCCCGGGCCCTCCCGCGCGTCTGAGCCCGAGGACCCGGGCTTCCCTGGGCGGAAGTCGGGTGTCGTGAGCGGCCGAGCGTCAGGCGTTTGACTGTTGGCTGTGTTTCCCTGCAGAGCTGCCGGCTCTGGGCGGTCACTCCGCTCCTCTGCGCCTCCGCGGTTGCCCCCGCGGTTCCGGTTTCGCCGGGTTAGTGGTCAGGCGTTACTTTTGAGCGTTCACGGCGGGGCTTCACACGGCAGCCCGCGGTGTGCGTTGGTAAAGCGATGAGAAGTTGGTCGTCACTGGGGGGACGTCGGTGTCCTTGTCGGGCGGGGAGGTCTTTGGGCGGCGTGGACGGGGCTTGGCGGGCGAAACCGGGAAGGACAGGATGCTGTCGCCCGCGGCAAGGTGGCGGGTCTCTGACCTGACTCGCCTCCGGGAGTTATCCCCTCGACAGGAGAGCGAGGGGAGAACTCACGTTTGTCCCTAAGTCTGCTTTTAATGAGAAGTCACGAGGGTGTGTGTTACCCAGGCGTCCTCTGCGAATCGCCGAAACGCCCCTGTGCCGCACGCCTGCGGGGACCCAGGGCTGCAGGGGTGGAGATACCGCGGCTCACTTAGGAACCCACAGATATGCACTTTGGGTTTGAGATAAAATTCACCTTTTAAACCGTCTTAAAGTGTATCGTTCAGTGGTTTTTAGCATCTTCGCATGTTGTGCAGCCATCACTATCTGGTTCCAGAACATTCTTCTCATCAGCCCAAAAGGAAACCCGTTTTGTGTCCTTAAACCGTTGCTCCACATTCCTCCCTCCCTGTCCCCCGACAACCATAATCTCGGACTTTTCTGTCTCTAAATTTGTGGGCGTTTCACATAATTGGAGTCATACTGGATGTTTATGTCCTTTTGTGGCTCCTCTAAGTTAGTGTTTTCAGATTCCTCCGTGGTGTGCACGTGCTGTTTATGGCTCTTAATATTCCGCTGTAGGGACACAGCACATGAAGTCAACCCATCCATCAGGTGGTGAACATTTGCATCACCCCACTTCTTGACTCTTGGGAATCGTGTCGCCATGAATATCGGTCCAAACGTGTTGTGGGGTCTCGTTTCTACCTCTTTGGGGTAGGTGCTCAGGAATGGAACAGTTGGGTCAGGCAACTAACTAGACTGTTACCGTGTGGTTGCCCCGTTTTACCTTACCTTGAGAAATATATGGAGGGTTCAGTTTCTCCATATACTCAACAGTGTTTCTGGGATTTTTTCCCTCGGTTTCTTGTACATATGGTGTCGTCCTTGTGGGTGCAAAGCGGTGATGTTGAGCACCTTTTAATGTGCTTGGCGCACCCGTTCTTGTTTGGAGAAATGTCTGTTAAAGTCCTTCGCCCGTTTGAGGCACTTTGGTTTTCATGCCTCCTGGTGAGGAATCAGGAAATAGACTAGAAGATAAAGGTTGAATGTGGTCATGCGTGGGGATGAAAGGGAGATAACTTTTTTGCATACAACAAATGCATGCCAAGAAAGCAAGGAAAGGCAAAATAGGTAAGAAAAGACTCTGTCTGGGACATCTTAAAGTATATGTGCAGAAAAGGTATCAAAGGCATTCATCTTGGATGGTTTCAAGTCTATAGATAACTGAGCAACTATTTTAAACAGACCTGTTGTGTAAGTTGCTTCAATGGATACCTTACAAAAGCACAACAATAAAGAGGGCCTGGGAATTCAACCATTAGGGGAACCCCTTGCTTAGTTCTCAGCTCTTTTCCGAATTTACTAGAAAAAGGATTCTTATCCAGCCAAAAAGCAAAATCTCTTTGTTAACTAAGTTTCTGCTCTGGGAACAAATATACTTATTTTACATTTTGATATTTTTATTATGTTGGCATTAGAATCAACATGAATTTTGAAGCCGTTATACTAAAAAGATGACTTTTAACTAAAGCATCTTTATTCTGTGCTCAAAAGATGAGTTTGCAATTTTTTTCTTTTTTTTTTGAGTTGGAGTCTCTGTCACCTAGGCTGGAGTGCAGTGGCACGCTCCCGGCCACCACAGCCTCGACCTGCTGGACTTAGGCTATCCTTCCACCTCAGCCTTGCAAGTAGCTGGAACTACTGGTGTGTGCCCGGCTGATTTTTGATTTGTTGTAGAGATGAGGTCTCGTCGAGGTGCCCGGGTGGGTCTCGAACCCACCGGTTCAGGCAGTCTACTCACCTCAGCCTCCCAAAATGCTGGAATTACAGGCTGAGTCACCGAGCCCGGTTTTTTTCTTGGAAGGGGAGAGCATGCATGAATAGGAGGTTGTGCACAGTAGAACTTTTTACATCATGCTATTTTGTTACAGATAGGCAAAACCAGGGCATCTGGGTTAAATTAGATAATAAAAAACTTCAAAACCAAAAAACAACTAGTTCTGTTATGTTTGATAAGATTTGAGAAGCATAAAGGCTTTCAAACTATGTTGTACTTCTGATATTATACTGAGTTTAAAGGTTTTTATATGAAGCTTTTTATATAATCCCAACATATAATGTAAGATTTTTGTAGTCAAGTTGCTAGTATCAAACCAGAATGCTAGAATAAAATCATTGTAAGACAAATGCATCCATTGTTTGAAAAGCTCTTGTGCATTTGTGATATATTGGAATAATTGGGGAAAACTTTAAGGTCATTAATTTTTTTTTTTTTTTCCTGAGTTGGAGTCTCACTCTGTCACCCAGACTGGAGTGCAGTGGCCGGGAGCAGCCTCGACCTGCTGGGCTCCAGCGATCCTTCTGCTTCAGTCTTCCAAGTAGCCGGAATTACAGACGCGCGCCACCACGCCCAGATGGTTTTTTGATTTATTGTAGAGATGAGGTCTCGCTGCCCAGGCGGGTCTCGAACCCGCGGACTCAGGCAATCCACTCACCTCAGCCTCCCAAAGGCACGGGATGACAGGCTGAGCCACCAAGCCTGGCTAGGTCACTAATTTTTTGACAGTGTCCTTTTTTTTTTTTTTTTTTTTTTGAGTTGGAATCTCACTCCGCCGCCCAGAACGGAGTCCAGTGGCACGCTCCCAGCCACTAGCCTCGGCCTACTGGGCTCTGGTGATCCTTCCGCCTCAGCCTTCCAAGTAGCTGGAACTACAGGCCTGCACTACCATGCCCGGCTAATTTTTGATTTATTGTAGAGATGAGGTCTTGCGAAGTTGCCCGGGTGGGTCTCATACCCGCATGCTCAGGCAATTCACTCACCTCGGCCTCCCAAAGTGCTGGGAATACAGGCTGAGCCACAAGCCTGGCCCTGACAGTGTCTTTTTAACTATAAAGTAGAAATCACTTCGGTAGGTGATGTATTGGCATGAGAAGGAAACAAGAACAGGGTGACTTTTTCAGAAGATTTGTGTTCCAGAATATGTGGTATTTGGATCTTTTGTCCAGGCTCACCTTCTGTGTAACCAAATCCTAGACTTCTTACTGTAAGATTGACTCAGCTTCAGAGCAAGACTTTTTCCTAGCAGCAGCAATTTGTCAATTAAAAAAAAATTATTTTGCTTTAAAAATTCGAACTTTTTTTTTGAGTTGGAGTCTCACTCCTTTGCCCAGGCTGGAGTGAAGTGGCACGCATGCTCACAGCCACCTCAGCGTCCACCTGCTAGGCTCCGGCAATCCTGCCTCTGCCTTCCAAGTAGCTGGAGCTACAGGCGCACGCTACCACACCCAGCTATTTTTTTTGAGTTGGAGTTTCACTCCATCACCCAGACTGGAGTACAGTGGCCGCTCCCGGCCACCGCAGCCTCGACCCGCTGGGCTTGGCGATCCTTCCACCTCAGCCTTCTGAGTAGCCGGAATTACAGGCACGTGCTACCACGCCCGGCTGATTTTTGATTTATTGTAGAGATGAAGTCTCACTGCCCAGGTGGGTCTCGAATCCGCGGGCTCAGGCAATCCATTCCCCTCAGCCTCCCAAAGGCGCAGGATTATAGGCTGAGCCACTGAGCCCAGCTCCCAGCTATTTTTTTTTTTATTTGATTATAGAGACGTGGGCTCAGACAATCCACTCGCCTTGGCCTCCTAAAGTGCTGGGATTACAGGCTGAGCCACCAAGCCCGGCCTAAATTCAAACATTTTTTGTGGGGTTCTTGAGATAGGAAGATCAATGAAGACCAAGCACTGATGGAAAATAGAGCATTCATTACTTTGGTTTCTGTAGCATTTCACAGCATGTATTCTCTTATCTCTTTAATTTTACTATTTAAAAAATTTGTGACATCTAATGACCCTAGGGTTGGATGTTATAGGGAAATCGTTGAAATCCTTATTTTTAAAAAGTTCCATATTTTGCTTTGTTTTTTTTTGTGTGTGTGTTTTTTTGTTGTTTGTTTGTTTGTTTGTGAGTTGGAGTCTCACTCTGTCGCCCAGACTGGAGTGCAGTGGCCACTCCGGGGCACCGCAGCCTCGACCTGCTGGGCTCCAGCTATCCTTCCGCCTCAACCTTCCAGTAGCTGGAGCTACAGGTGCGCGCTACCACACCCGGCTAATTTTTGATTTTTTGTAGAGATGAGATCTCACCAAGTTGCCCAGGCGGGTCCCAAACCCACAGGCTCAGGCAATCCACTCATCTCAGCCTCCCAAGGCGTGGGATTACAGGCTGAGCCACCGAGCCCAGCTCCATGTTTTGCTTTGTAAGTCAACAAAAGTTTCTTGTAAATAAAATGTTCTAAAACAAAGACAAACTTGAAAGTTTAGACTTGATTACTTGTTCAAAAAAATTTTTTTTCATTTGGAGTCTCTTGCTCTGTAGCCCAGGCTGGAGTGCAGTGGCCCACTCACAGCCACAACCTGCTGGGCTCAGGCGATCATTCCACCTCAGCCTTCCAAGCAGCTGGAACTACAGGCGCACGCCCAGCTAATTTTTTGATTTATTGTAGAGACGAGGTCTTGCCAAGTTGCCCAGGTTGGTCTGGAACCCGTGTTGCCTCCTCCTCCCTAAGTGCTGGGATTACAGGTGTGAGCCTCTGCTCCAGCTCAAGATTGCTTTTAAGTTTTTCTTTAAAAAAGGAAGTTTGAAGTATTTACAACTCAAAAGCCTTGGAAGAAAGAATAGAAATTTCAACTCAGTCCTAGAAAACTTAGGTCAACCTCCTAATTTTCAGTTTTTATTTTAGTAAATTGAAAGGAGTGATAAGCACAGTATCATACCCCATTGCCTTATTTATCATAACTATCTTACCTTTTATTTTAACACAGCTACAGAAAGATCTGGAAGAGGTAAAGGAATTGCTGGAAAAGGCCACTAGGAAAAGAGTACGTGATGCCCTCACAGCTGAAAAATCCAAGATTGAGACAGAAATCAAGAACAAGATACAACAGAAATCACAGAAGAAAACAGAAGTCCTTGACAATGAAAAGCCAGCTGCTGTGGTCGCTCCCATTACAACAGGATACACATCGAAAATCAGTAATTATGGTATGACTTGCTCCCCTATGGCCACTTCTGCCTCCAAGCAAACTGTTGCTCGTAGTGACCCAATTTGAAAAATAGTTTTCAGTGTTTAATTTTGGTACCTTTGAAGAGGGCCCAGATGCTTTTTTTGTTTGTTTTTTGTTTTTTTTTGAGTTGGAGTCTCATTCCATTGCACAGGCTAGAGTGCTGTGGCACTCTCATGGTCACCCCAGTGTAGACATGCTGGGTTCCAGAGATCCTTTTGCCTCAGCCTTCCAAGTAACAGAAACTACAGACACACGCTACCATGCCCTGCTAAGCTTTATTTTTTTTTAAGAGATAAAAAGGAAAGGGTACATTCTAGAACCTATTACCAAGACGGAAAGATGATTTTAGTGCTTACTCTAGATGAGTAGCACAAGGAAGGAACCTATTCTGAAATCATTCAGTGTCTATGGAACACAGCTGTGGTGGTGGTGTTTTTATTTTTTTATTTTTACTTTTTTTTTGAGTTGGAGTCTCACTCTGTCGCCCAGACTGGAGGGCAGTGGCCGCTCCCGGCCACCGCAGCCTCGACCTGCTGGGCTCAATGATCCTTCCGCTTCAGCCTTCCGAGTAGCTGGAATTACAGGCGCACGCTACCACGCCCGGCTGATTTTTTGATTTATTGTAGAGATCGGGTCTCGAACCCGCGGGCTCAGGCAATCCACTCACCTCAGCCTCCCAAAGGCATGGGATTACAGGCTGAGCCACCGAGCCCGGCTTTTCTTATGTTTCTATTACTGGATTTTCTTATTTTTGTTTCACTGTTTTTTTTTTTGTTTTGTTTTTTATGAGTCATGTGTATTTGCTATTCTGGAGATAATTTCAGAGACTTGTGTCCTTTTTTTGTTGCTAGGATGGGATCAGTCAGATAAGTTTGTGAAAATCTATATTACCTTAACTGGAGTTCATCAGGTTCCTACTGAGAATGTGCAGGTGCATTTCACAGAGAGGTAAGTTCTCATTGCAGTGGGAAAGACACTGATCATTAATAGTTAGATTGGCTTAACATGGGACTTTTTCCCTTGCAGTTTCTAAAATTCTGCTTAAATTTAGATTTAATTATCCTCTATACCTGCTTTAAAGAGGTTAGTGTTAAAATCATTTGGAATGGCCCGGTGTATACCCTGAAATAGAGTTTTTTTCTAAGAACTATGGAGTCCCTCTCATAGAACCAGGAAGATAATGTATTTACAATTGTGTTGTAGGTCATTTGATCTTCTGGTAAAGAATCTCAATGGGAAGAGTTACTCCATGATTGTGAATAATCTCCTGAAGCCTATCTCTGTGGAAGGCAGTTCCAAAAAAGTGAGTATGCTTTTTTTGGTTATGATATTGTGAAACCTCTTTTCGGTTGAACCTGACTGACTTAGAACTGAGATGAGCTGGAATTGATTTATTCTATGTAATTAGGACCAGTAAGTAAGCTATAGCTCCTGCCTGTTTTGTTGGTGCTTATTTGTTTAGGTGTTGTTGGCTGCTTGTGTGCTAAGTGGCAGAGTTAAGTAGCTGTGACAGACCATGTGGCCCATGAAACCTAAAATAGTTACTGTTTGACCCTTTACAGAAAAAGTTTGCCAACTCCTATTGTAGCACGGATTATTATAAGAATATTGTCTCAAAATCAGGAGAAAAATAGACTTTAGTAGTGATAAAGAGTAAGACTTGAGTTTTAGTGCCAATTTTACCACTTATTATTTGTGACCTAATCACTCTGTGCCTCAGTTTCCCCATTTATGCAATAGTAATCATAAATTGAAATAATGTACTAAGATGAAGTACTACGTAAAGTGCTACTACGTTAATGGTAGTATTGCTAGAAGCACTGTGCGTGAGATTTTGATACATAAAAAGGAGGGCTTCAACACTTAGCCTAGTCAGAATTATTAGAGCTGTAGAAATAATGAAGGTCTTCTAAAACACTAGCACTCATACTTGTTACTAATTCAGACAGTCCCCCTTTTCTCCTTAATTTGAGGTATAAGAATAAGGTATATAGACAAGCCATTCTGCCATTTATGTTTATATATAGTTATGTGGTAGCATAAATGTGGTATTAACTCATTTGCGACTGCTGACATGAATTTACGTCATTCCAGATTCTGTTCTTGGTTGCCGCTGACGTGAATTTACGTCATTCCAAATTCTGTTCCTGGTTACCACTGATGTGAATTTACGTCATTCCAGATTCTGTTCCTGGTTGCCGCTGACGTGAATTTGCGTTATTCCAAATTCTGTTCCTGGTTACCACTAATGTGAATTTATGTAATTCCAAATTCTGTTCCTGGTTGCTGCTGACATGCATTTCATCGTGGAAGACTGTCTTTTTGGATTTATAATCCGAATCAAAGTACAAAGTACAGAGTGCTAGTCAGTGGTATCTGAGGCAAATACTGCATGATAATGTCTGCAACTTTGAGCTGTGTCATGAAAAAGGTGACAATTTAGAAAACACCATTTCACTTGTCCTTAATGATGGAAGTCTGCGGCAACCAGCTTCAGATTTTTTTTTTCTCTTGCTCTCAGTATTAGGAAAGTGAAAAATTTGTGAATGTGTTAAGATATAACATGGGTTAGCTGTCTTCTTGCATCCTTCTGCTTCCACTTGTCCTATTGTTGAAGGAGTGTTCGAAAGATGCCAAGGAGCTGCATTGTGGATGGGATGCTATGTTCTCTCCCCTTTCTTGCCTTCACAGGCCTTGCCTTGTCCACTCCTGCCTTCCATGGCTTCCTGCTTGTGCCCAGTCCCTCTTACTATATTACTCTCCTTTGGTCACTAAACTCCAGCCATTTCTTTTCTTCAAATACACCAAGATCATCCTGTCTTGGAGCCCTTCTGCTTGCTATGCCAACTCCCAGAAAACTTCCCTGTGCCTTCAGCTCCGAGTGCTCCACCCTCATGAGCACCCTCTTTTTCTTTATAGCACTTAGGTGTTTGAAGTTATGCGAGTTTTACTCGCTTAGAGTCTTCTCTGAGCGTGTTCAGATTCTGGCCCTTTAAAATATCACTAGAAGCTGGGCTCGATGGCTCAGCCTGTAATCCCGCGCCTTGGGAGGTTGAGGTGAGTGGATTGCCTGAGCCCGCGGGTTCGAGACCCGCCTGGGCAACTTGGCGAGACCTTACCTCTACAGTAAATCAAAAAATCAGCCGGGCATGATAGCGCGTGCCTTTAGTTCTGGCTACTCGGAAGGCTGAGACAGAAGGATCGCCGGAGCCCAGCAGGTCGAGGCTGCGGTGGCC